ATTTTATAATGTGGTCTTAGAACGACTGATTTGAATACCTGTCTCCTACACTAGACTGTGAGTCTCTACATGATCAAGAACTGGGTGTGATTATTTTTTAATATGTATACCCTTCAACTGGTAAAGGTCTATCACACAGAAAGACAGTTTTTTAAATATTTATTTCATTTACTATAAAAAGGGTCTATCACATGGACTGTAGATATTTACTGAGTAAATGCCTTATTTTAAAACGTATAGTTTATTTAAGTAATTATTCCTTCAACAAATATTCATTGAATGATTTCTGTGCTGAAGCTCCTATTCTAGGTAATTAACATGTATTCATAGACATAGAAAATAATGGTATTAATAAACCTCCATAGTGTTTACAAATGAGAGAGATTTATTTGTATTAGAGAGGTTGCTTTTCAGTTAGTTTTTTAATTCAGGCAGATCTAAGTTAGGTTCTATTATATAAAATATACAACACTGCATGGTGCCGAGCACTTATAAAAAGCTAAATTTAGTTTGGTTAACATTATTATGATTATCATTATTATTGATCAGAGAGGAAATATCTCAAATTGAAAACATCCAGATAACATGAGATGACAAAGAACTGCAGTTTAAAAAAACATATCATCTCTAACAAAAATACTGTTTTACAGTTGAATTTATTTATTTATTTATTTATTTCATTTTATTTTTATTTTTTTTGAGACGGAGTTTCGCTCTTGTTACCCAGGCTGTAGTGCAATGGCACGATCTCGGCTCACCGCAACCTCCGCCTCCTGGGTTCAGGCAATTCTCCTGCCTCAGCCTCCTGAGTAGCTGGGATTATAGGCACGCACCACCACGCCCAGCTAATTTTTTTTGTATTTTTTTTAGTAGAGACGGGGTTTCACCATGTTGACCAGGATGGTCTCGATCTCTTGACCTTGTGATCCACCCGCCTCGGCCTCCCAAAGTGCTGGGATTACAGGCTTGAGCCACCGCGCCCGGCTATTTTTTAACTTCATAACTATATTTGTTGAGTCCAGTTAGACAAGAAAAATGGATAAGTGAAATCAGCTAGAGTGAAATGTGCCAAGTATAAAAATATGGACATGCTATTATCCCTGAAATTCTGAAATTTCCATTTAACATGTAAAAATCCAAATGAAGCTAAGAAATAAAAGTTATGAAATAAAAGATTCATTTTAAATGGTGTATTTCTTCTTTCTTTTTCTCTCCCTCCCTACCTCTCTCCCTCCCTCCCTTCCTTCCTTCCCTCCCTCCCTCCTTCGTTTTTAGGGATAAGCTCTTGCATTGTTGCCCAAGCTGGTCTTGTACTCCTGGCTTCAAGGGATCCTCCCACCTCAGTCTCCCAAAGTGCTAGGTTTATAGCTATGAGCCACTGCACTCCGCCCTTAAATGGTATATTTCTTTATAGTATAGATAGCACCTTTCTATTTTTAATAACATCTGATTCATTAGATGGTTGTTATCATTAACCACATACGTGAGTGTCTTTTAAGCAAAGAATACACAGTGGTCCTCATTTATTGTGAGGCATAAATAGGATATTGTCTCTTCTGTAGCTGAACTTTTTCATTTTGTGCCATTTAATGGTAAAAAAAAAAAATTGTGTAATAGTGGGTTTTTTGTTTTGTTTTGAGACAAAGTCTTACTCTGTTGCCCTGGCTGGAGTGCAGTGGCACGATCTTGGCTTACTGCAACCTCTGCCTCCCAGGTTCAAGCGATTCTTCTGGCTTAGCCTCCCAAGTAGCTGGGACTACAGGCATGTGCCACCACGCGGGGCTAATTTTTTGTATTTTAGTAGAGACGGGGTTTCGCCATGTTGGCCAGGATGGTCTCGCACTCCAGGCCTCCTGATCTACCCGCCTTGGCCTCCCAAAGTGCTGGTGTTATAGGCATGAGCCACCGCGCTCAGCCTGTGTGATTTTTTTATAAGATTATATTTATTTAGGTAAATTATATTGCCTATGGACAATCCAAGTTTGTTGATTTTTTTTTTTTTTTTTGAGGTGGGGCAGCTAGCTATCTTGGGTTTTAAAACTGGTGAAAACATACATTTGACGACTGAGCAAGGTGGCTCACGCCTGTAATCCCAGCACTTTTGGAGATCAAGGTGGGTAGATCACCTGAGATCAGGAGTTTGAGACCAGGTTGGCCAACATGGCGAAACTCCGTCTCCACTAAAAATACAGAAAAATTAGCCAGGCATAGCGGTGCGTGCCTGTAATCCCAGCTACTCACACAAGAACTGCCTGAACCCAGGAGGCAGAGGTTGCAGTGAGCCAAGATCGCACCATTGCACTCCAGCCTTGGAGAGAGAGTGGGACTCTGTCTAAATAAATAAATAAAGCATACATTTGACAATTTTTTCTTAAAAAATTTAAAGGATATAGTTGTATTTGTTTTCACATTTGTTGACATTGGAAGTGTGCTATCCAATAAGTTAGCCCAAAGGCACTTGTGGCTTTTGATCTCTCACAATGAGACTAGTCTAAACTGAAGTGTGCTCTGAGATCGTAAAGACTTGGTACAACAAATATTATAAAATAGGTAATATACATGAAACAGATCATGTAACTACATATGATTACATACTGGAATGACATTTTGGATATGCTGAATAAAATATTAAAATAATACCTTTAAAAATGTGGCTATTAGAGAATTTTAAATAATATATATGGATCACCTTATACTTGTCTTAAGACAATGTTGGTTTAGATGCTTTTTTCCTAGAATGACTCATACTATTGTTGTCCATTTTTACTGTGTTAAATATTACTGAAAAAAAATTAAGAGATCAACTGTTCCAACAACCAAATTTTACAAATGAGGAAACAGAGGTTCAGAGACATTTTTGCATAGGGTCAAGAGACTGACTAATTTGAGACACAGCAGAACTCAAGTATATAGCTCTAGATTTCCAGTCTTGAAATAAGTTACTGGAAAAGCAGCAGATATCAATAGACAGTTGTTAGTAGAACAAATGGATAAATATTGTCTTCATGCTGTGTTGCATTCAACTTTTTTCTATGAGATTTTGACATGAATCTTCTTTGTGTGTACTGGGGAAAAAGGCAAAGCAATTGTGTTCAGTAACAACAGCGGTGAAGTTAGCTTCATAAAACACCTAATACATTCCAATATGGAGCCTTTAATAGTAAGAGATGTGATTGACGAAAAGAACACGTTAAAATAGCTCCGACCATCCCAATACTCCAGTGACTTTGTTTACAAAATAGGAAGAATGAGACTGTGTCGATGAATGAAAAATAAAACCTACATTTCTTGGGAAGGAAGCATCTATCTTTTTCTATTTGTAAATGCTTACGAGCAGAGTTTAAGGAGGGCTAATGTCACCCATTCATCTTAATTAAAGAGTTAATTGCTCGTGTATCCTGATTTAGTCGAGCCTGGGAGCATGGGAAGCCCTTGCCTCTATGTATTTTATTGACCAGTGTAATGACATCATCAGTAAGTCTCAGGATGTATTTATGCTTCAGCCTATCCTCATAATGTTAATAGCCTTGTACATGATAAAACTTTCAACAGGAAGAGTCCTTGCACCTGGCACGGAATACAAAGAGGACAGTGGCAGACGCTGCTAAATGTCTCGCCTCAGCTGTCACTGAAGCATTCCTTCAAAGTCTAGAGTCATGCAAATAGTAAAAAGTAATTTCAAATGCTAGTTTTCAGAAAATATTTTTGTGTGGAATCAGGTAGTAGGTTTTTAGACAAAGTAAATATTTGAAAGTTAGCAATTTTCACTGACTCTTGCCTAACCAGGTAAGCATGTGTTACAGTGAGAGACAATCTACTGTTAGTGTGTTCAAAACAAATGTCTTAGAAATAGAGTTGTCTGGCTGGGTGCAGTGGCTCAGGCCTGTAATCCCAACACTTTGGGAGGCCAAGGCAGTGGAGTACTTGAGGTCAGGAGTTCAAGTCCAGCCTGACCAATATGGTGAAACACCGTCTCTACTAAAAATACAAAAATTAGCTGGGCACGGTGGTGCACACCTGTAATCCCAGATACTCGGGAGGCTGAGACAGGAGAATCGCTTGAACCTGGGAGGCAGAGGTTGCAGTGAGCCAAGATCTCACCATCACACTCCAGCCTGGGCAACAGAGCGAAACTCCATCCACAAAAAAAAACAAGGACAAATAAAGTTGGCTAAGGAGAATGCCTTTAAAACACACACACACACACACACACACACACACACACTCTCAGAAAAAAATTGAGACCAAATAACTTAGCCATGAATTACATGAAGGGATTCCTAAAAAGAAAGGTTTTCAACCCTTAAAATAGAATATTCCTCAAAGTTCTCTACCATTTTCTCAGAAATAATGTGTTTAGGTGAACTATAAGGCTATAGTACATACATAACTAATTTTGGACTAACACCCTCTGCTAATACATTTTAAAAAATGAAAAGAGGCAAAAATCAAGGAACAGCAGGGAAAAAGTACTATCTTGAGGGCATACAGAGCAAAAACACAGAAATGATCTTCAGAGTTAATGGGCCTTTTGGTGTCTCTTTTCACACGGAGCTACAAGCAGTCCTAGTTAAAGTTAATTAAAGTTAGTGCCCTGCTTCTGCAAACAAAACTGGTTCAAGAAGCATCCCAAATTTGAGTTGCTGATTACATATTAAATATCATGTTACAGCCAAGGTAAGTACACTGTGGTTATAAAAGGTACAAAGACAGAAGGTGAGAAGGTGGAAGTTAAATATACATCATCGTCCTAGATAGTGTCGTGTTCTCTTGTAGGCTGAGGCATCACAATAGCCTTGTGACCTTGGGTGGGTCACTTCTGCTGTCTGTTTCTCAGTTTGCACATTTGTAAAATAGTGACAGGTATAGTACTTCCCCCACAGAGTTATTGTGACTGCTTCATGAGTTAGTGAACTCAAAACACTGCCTAGCAGGTGGTAAGCAACATATATATCATATATGTGTAAACTGTAATCATTAGGCTTTTATTTATTTATTTATTTTGAGACAGCATCTCCCTCTGTTACCCAGGCTGGAGGGCAGTGGCACAATCTTGGCTCACTGCAACCTCTGCCTCCTGGGTTCAAGCAATTCTCCTGCCTCAACCTCCTGAGTAGGTAAGATTACAGGCACCTGCCACCACACCCAGCTAATTTTTATGATGGGGTTTCACCATGTTGGTTGGCTGGTCTCAAACTTCTGACCTCAGGTGATCTGCCCGCCTCGGCCACTCAAAGTGCTGAGATTACAGGAGTGAGCCACCACACCTAGCTTGTAATTATTACTCTTACGAGTAATTCTGAATCTGTTCTTTTAGGAGGACACTTTTAATATAGAGTTTGGCTTTTTGTCTTAGAAATTTCATTTTCCCATTGTCTTCTTAAAGTTTCTGTTGTTTTTTATACATGAGGAAAAATAACTCTGTTATGATCATATCTAATAGCCATATACACATGCACGCACACACACACACCTAATAGCATACCCATGTGCATGTGTGCGCACACACACATACACACACGCCCCTAATAGCATGCAGATGTGCACACACACACGCCTGCACACACACACACACACACACACCACACATATAGACAGCATTGTGTTGCAGTTAAGGTCAAGGACTTGCAAGTGAAGCAAACGTGGACTCAACCTGTCCCTACCTCTGTAGGTTTGTCACCTTGGGAAACTAGCCTAACATTCTAAGCTCTAGGTTTCGTTTCTTTTCTTTTCTTTTTTTTTTTCTTTTGAGATAGAGTGCAGGCTGGAGTGCAGTGGCAATACCTTGGCTCACTGCAATCTCCGCCTCCCAGGTTCAAGTTCTTATCCAGCCTCAGCCTCCCGAGTAGCTGGCACTACAGGTATGTGCCACCACATTCGGCTAATTTTTTTGTATTTTTAGTAGAGATGGGGTTTCACCATGTTGTTCAGGCTGGTCTCAAACTTCTGACCTCAAATGATCTGCTCACCTCAGCCTCCCAAAGTGCTCGGATTACAAATGTGAGCCACCTCGCCCGACCTCTGAGATTCTTTTTCTATCAAATGAAGATAAAAATAAGATACTCATATAGTCGTTATGAAGATTAAAGAATATAATGATTTTAAAATCTCAACATAGTATCTGGCACCTAAGAAAATAATGATAGCATTTTCTACTTTCCTTCTTTTAATTACGACAAGGAAGATGGTAATGTATATAAAAAGAGGAAAAAATCAAGAAAGGCATATTCTTGAACATTTATGGTGGTTATCTCTGGGGGTGAGATAATGAGTCTTCTTTTCTCTTTTTTATCCCTACCTTTCTTGTTTCTCTTCATTGCTCATTTTTCTACGGTGAACATGGTGGGGAAAAGGGATAAAAGTGTGCTAGAAACTAAGTGTTACAGTTCAGAGGAAAGCGAGCCTATTTCCAGCTGTGGGTGATTAACTGAAAGTTACTAGGTAGGTGGGATTTCTCTAGGTGGAAATGGAGGTAGATGATTGCAGGCAAAGGGGATGAGGCAAAGTTTCAAAGCAGAAACACTGTAACAGAGGAAAGTGAGCCGGCCTGATGCGCTGCACTTGAGGGTCCGAAGAGGGATAAAACACGAGGCTGAAGAATTATTTAAGTGATTGAAGAACGCGAGATTTACACTTTCGTTGGTAAATGGCCACCTAAGTGGATGAGAAATGGGACCACGGAGTCCCAAATGAAACAGTGCTTACCTTGTAAAGCAGCATGTAAGGCAGAAATCAAAGACAGACAAAATTATCTACAAAAATAATTCAAATCTCTCATAATCTACAGCATGGGGAGATACATTTCATGTGTTTGTGTATTGTGTATAAAAACCTGCAGATTTTTTTTTTTTTTTTTTTTGAAACAGAGTTTCTCTGTCACTCAAGCTGGAGTGCAGTGGCTTGATCTCGGCTCACTGCAACCTCCACCTCCTGAGTTCAAAGGATTCTCCTGCCTCAGCCTCCCAAGTAGCTGGAATTACTCCATGTCGGGCTAATTTTTGTGTTCTTAGCAGAGACCACATTTTACTATGTTGACCAGCTATTATCAAACTCCTAACCACAAGTGATCCACCCGCCTCAATCTCCCAAAGTGCTGGGATCACAGGCGTGAGCCACTGTGCCCATGGTAAACTTTTTAAAAGACTAAATTTTTAGAACTGCAGAACTAGACTAAGGTAGGAACAAGGGAACGTCTATGTGTCGAAGTTGGAGGGTTTCTAAAACATCTTATCTGTAAAAGAAGTCTAGCTGTAACGTTGACTAGGAGATGAAGGTATAGGTTGTGTTTCCACAGGCCTGCTAGCTTTATGCCATTCAATGTTAAGATTAAGCCACTAGAATTTTTATACGCATTAATAGATTTGTTTGCTATTTTGATCAGGCTCTCTGATCAGACCAGATACTTTCTCTGAAAGTGACTACCAGAGGCTTGTTGGTACAAACGCAAGTGGAATCATATCCAATGTACGTGTAACGTTTCTAATCAAGGGTCTAATGTAGAAATCAAGAAGATTAGAAACCAAGGCCAGGCTGGACACCGTGGCTCACGCCTGTAATCCCAGCACTTTGGGGGGCTGATGCAGGTAGATCACGTGAGATCAGGAGTTTGAGATCAGCCTGGCCAACATGGTGAAACCCTGTCTCTACTAAAATTAAAAAAAATTACCCGGCCATGGTGGCACACACCTGTAATCTCAGCTACTTGGGAGGCTGAAGAGGGAGAACCACTTGAACCTGGGAGGTGGGGGTTACAGTGAGCCGAGATTGAGCCACTGCACTCCAGCTGGGGTGGCAGAGTGAGACTCTGTCTCAAAAAAAAGAAACAGAAAAAAGAAAAGAAAGAAACCAAGGCCAGAGATTGAATGATAGAACTCATGACTGAATAAATGATTGGGTGATAGATTAAAGGAAGGCTTAGGGACTTAGGAAAGTAATGGGATTCATTGACATAGATTAGAAAATGTAGTTGAGCATTGCTGTGGCTGGTGAGTGGCCTGAGATGTTTTGACGCGTGCAAGTTGACGTAATTGCCTATGTCAAATTTCAGCTATCCAGAAAAACTGCAAGTCTCAAGAGACATGCCAGGCTGAAAAATAAAGGTTTGGGATGTAGAAGGAATTGACTAGGTGGGTAAATACTTCAGAGTTAGAGTTTAATTCTCCTGAAGCCTTGACTTACAGTGCTCTTACTTGTGTAGCACTCTTAGCTAGCTAACTTTAGCTAAAATTATTGAAAATGTCATCTGCAGAAGGCACATGTAAGGAATAAGGAATTGTGTCTTATCTCCACCATTAAATACCCCTTGAAGTTAAGTAAACTCTTGGTTCAAAGTTTTAAAAAGTACTAGAGGCCTGGAGTGGTGACTCACGCCTGTTAATTCCAGCACTGTGGGAGAATGAAGCGGGTGGATCATGAGGTCAGGAGATTGAGACCATCCTGGCCAACTTGGTGAAACCTCGTCTCTACTAAAATACAAAACATTAGCCAAGTTGTAGTGGTAGGCACCTGCAGTCCCGGCTACTCGGGAGGCTGAGGTAGGGGAATTGCCTGAACAGAGAGGCAGAGGAGTGAACTGAGATCGTGCCACTGCACTCCAGCCTGGCGACAGAGTGAGACTCTGTCTCAAATAAATAAATAAATAAATAAATAACATAACATAACATAACATAACAGGAGATTAGGATACAGATACACAGTGGCACTAATATGTAAAGACACAGGAAAAAGGCAGTTTTCTGTAAGCCAAAGAGAGAGAGGGCGGCCTCAGGAGAAAGCAAACCTACCCATCCTTTGATTTTGGACTTTTGGCCTCCGGAATGGTGAGAGAAAACATTTCTGTTGTTTAAGGCACCCAGCTTAAACACTTTGTTATGGCAGCTCTAGAAGACTAATACAAACTACTCAATCCTCCAACTATATCATAAAGCAGATATAATTATCCTGATTTTTAAGGAAAGAGAAACTTGAGTCTGAGGACAGTGAATTCATTTATCTGAATATCACATGCAGGAAAAGGGTGAAACCGGGATTCAAACCCATGTCTACCTCCAAAGCTCAACTCTGTACACCACAAGCAACTGCTGCCCTAATTTTCTTGATACTATTAAGATGTTTATTGGATCCGCTTATTATACTCTTAATTTTAAAAATATTAATCAAAAGTAAAAAACATCTCTGTATGAAGTAATTACTCAGAAAAATATGGGTTGTGGGTTGCAAAGACCACTTGAATAGCAGCAACGGTTTATAAACCTGAGTCTTATTTTGCAGTATAGTTTCTTGTAGATTGAAGTACTTTAAAAAAATAAATATAAGCTCTGGACAAGCAGAATATAAGACTGGAACCGTTTCCAATACTAACCACGTACTAATAAACATGTGCAGAGACCGGAACAGACCACAGGAGTTATAATTCTTTCACCGTACCTGGCAGCAAAGATTTCTGATAGCATCATGTAAAAAACTGAAGAATAAAACCTCCCAATAAGCTGACGTAGGAAAACAGGACAAACCAAAAGATAGGTGGAGAGCAGGCCACGAAGAACTTTTAACAACATAGAGCCACGAAAACAAGAAAGAAAATAAAAACGACTGAAAGAAAATGTTCGACAGTCTTTGGAGCCAAAAAATAAAGATGTTGATCTCATGATAAATGTAACACGTTGAGGGAGAAAAAGCAAGTAAAATCTCATTCCACGAAACTGAAATGATTCAGTTGGGAGAAGTAAATTTTTTTAAGATTCAAAAGAAAAAGGACCAGAGAAATAAAGTGAAAGACAATCCAATACAACAATAAATGACAAAGCAGGCAGAGAAATATGGTATTGACAAGAAAGATTGATTGTCTACATCAGAATGAGAGAAACTGAGTGAGGGGACACAGTTCCTCCTTTCTAAACAAGAGTGGTTTGGGGGAAGAGAGAAAGCAATTAAAGAAAAAAAAAGTCAAATAAAAATCAAGTGAAATGTGAAAATTATTAGCAATTATGTGTTACCTAGGGAAAATGCCATCACAATTAGGATTTAAGTTGGGCAGAAATATATAAAGAGATACCATTAGATTGTCAAAGAAATCCAGCTGTACAATCAATAAATACAGGTGTTTAGTATACTCACATATTTTTGTGATTGAAGGCAATCAATAAACTGCAAACATCCTTTCCAAAAGAACAAAGTCAGGATGTTTTCATTAAGACCAGCATTCATTTTGCCAAACTCAGTTCCAAGTGGTGGCGAGAGCGCTAAGGTCACACTGAGACAGTAAGTTAAATCTCATCTGCTTTTAGAGATTGTCCAAGTGGCCAGGTTATCGGCATCCCAAAGTGCTGGGATTACAGACATGAGACACCACGTCCAGCCTCTGTTTTCCTTTTTGGTAAACAGGAACAAGCCATCAGCCCTGCCTGCTTCATAGTGTTTTGGGAAAAAGAAATGAGGCTTTTTATGAAAGGCTGAGCCTAGTTTTGCTTTGGGAAGGCAATCTCGTAAAATGGAATGAAGTAAATCTGGTGCTCACCATCTGTGTGACCTGGGAGAATGACTTATTCCCTCTGACCTTCAGTTTCTTCATCTAGAAAGTGAGAGCAATAATACCACAGCTGAGCATGGTGGCTCACACTTGTGATCCTGCACTTTGGGAGGCCGAGGAAGGAAGATTGCTTGAGTTCAGAAGTTCAAGACCAGCCTTGGTAACGTAGTGAGACCCACCCCCACCCCGCCCCGCCCCACGCACCGCCACCATTTGTACATTTTTTTTAAAAAATAGCCAGTTACGGTGGCATACACCTGTATTCCAGCAACTCAGGAGGCTGAGGCAGGTGGATCACTTGAGCCTGGGAAGTAGAGGTTATAGTGAGCTGTGATTGTGCCATTGCACTCCAGCCTGGCTGAAGAGCAAGACCCTATTTCAAAATAATAATGATAAAAATACACATTTCATGAGGTGGTGTGAGGATTAAATGAGCTAATATAGTAGGCATTCATTAAAATGAATTATCCATCGTAATTAAAAATCATTATCTGGCCAGGCACGGTCACTCACACCTGTAATTCCAGTACTTTGGGAGGCCAAGGCAGGCAGATAACCAGGTCAGGAGATGGAGACCATCTGGTCAACATGGTGAAACCCTATCTCTACTAAAAATACAAAAATTAGCAGGGCATAGTGGAACATGCCTATAATCCCAGCTACTTTTGAGACTGAGGCAGAGGAATCACTTGAACCTGGGAGGCAGAGGTTGCAATGAGCCGAGATTGCGCCACTGCACTCCAGCCTAGCAACACATTCAGATTCTGTCAAAAATAAAAATAAATAAATAAATAAAATCATTATCTGTCACATAGTAGGTGTCCATTAAAAGTTATCCCCTTTTCCTTAATTTCAAGTAACATGATGACCATCATCATTCTCATTCTGTGGCTAAAGCTGACATATTGCTATT